CGAAGAGGATGAAAGTGTGCAGTACGTGCTCCCCAATCATATGCTGCTAACTATCGCTGAGGTGAGATTCGTTCTGAACTTTCAGCAGACGTTTTGTGGAAAAGGATAATCGGTCCGCTATCTTAATCATTCCCTTCGTTTCAGAGTTTACCTCGAGAGCTTCAAGGGATTCTACATTGTTGTAACCCGGTCCCTCCATTAGTTAGAGAATGCGTCCATGAATTGCACAAGTATGTTAGCTGATAGTAAATTTTGAATACACCACGATTATAGCTTCTGTTCAGAATGATATTCAAATGCCGAGACATTCCTCTGATCGAGTACAAAAGCGAAGTGTCGATTGACGCATACGAGCAGATTCTACGACAGCGAAATATGAGGGGCCAATTCACGAAGGAGAACGTCTTTGTAATGTATGTCTCCTATCAGGTTTCACGTTATGATAGCAACCATGGAAGTGCAGAACTTGCTTATTCTAGATGTCCTCTGGACTTTTCGCAGACTGAGTTTGATGAAGAAAGTGGTAATTTAATATCCTCGTCGAAGACTGATGAAAACTGCGCAATTGTTGAGCGTGCTGCAACACATACCTTATTGTCGGTTATCGATTCCGCCACTGCACTGGAAAAGGAGATTGGCCAAGATAACAAAACACAAAGCGTCGTTGATGAGGTTCAAGTTTTTTCGAACTATGCAGAGAGAGAGGTGTTAGAATAGCCGTAAATTACTTTAAGCCTAAAAGTTTTGCTTTTCGTGCTAGCATCATCTTATTTGTTGAGTGCGTGGTTGAAGTTTATGCTTTTTCTTGTCAGGTTGCATTTGAGAGTTTAAAATGTGGTTATTATATCAGAACTCGTCACCTAATGCCGACGCGGTGAAGAGAATATTAGAGAGATTACGAGAAACGGCAACTCCTTATGAATGCTATACTATAGCAATTACTCAGGCTAGGAAAAAAGAAGTGAGGTCGTTTTTGAGGGCATTACTTTTGATAGTTCACCCTACTTCGATTCATTAATGATGATTATTTTAAGACTGAAGAAAAAACCGAGGAGAATGGTGAACAGAAGTCTCTGCCCACGGCACAAAAGAGATACACTCACCATGATCCGGCAACGGAGAGACCTGTGGTGGCGGCTGTTTCGGTGTGTTTTGGTTTTTTTTTTTAAAGCAACAGTCCCAGCAGGGTGGGCGTGGTCGGAAACGACTGCAATCCCCTCGGCCGATTCCGACCACGCCCACTTCAGCTCCCTGCCTAGCGGCTTTCCAAGGTGAGTTTTTGTTCAGTCACACTTCTTACGTTCTTGACTAGGGGCTGAACAGCTCCGAAGTGGGAATCGGCCGAGGGGATTGCAGCCGTTTCCGACCACGCCCACCCTGCTGGGACTGTTGCTTTAATGAAACTAATTATATGTGTCTGTGATGAGAATGTGTGCATACTCGCTGTGATTAGAACAGAGCATTCTGCC